TTTTTTTTTTTAATGAAAATGGTTCATTTACACCTATTAGATTTTAGAGAATAAGACTGAAGTCAAAAGGAGACTTTGATACGCCATTTTAAGTCGTAACGAACACCAAGCTGGCGACCAACCTATTTAAAGAAATTTATAGACATTTGCCAGGGGGTTTAGCTTCGACAATTTTACAGGGGACAAATCATGTATGAATAACTCAAGAAATTTATTAGCTCTCATGCTGGATGCTTAAACACTCTTAAGGAATATGACTGATCACTCCTCAAATTCATTTTCAATGAAATCTGGACAAAACTTCTGAAAACTTTATTGGTAATTTTATTGGTAATTTTACCAATTTTACAAATAAAGTAGACATAACTCCCATACAGCATATCAGTCTTACAGGGAACAAAAGACTAAGAATTTAACCCAGTAATAAGCTTCTGGGAGTAATGACATATTCTTGAATAACAGCTTGCCACAGTAAATGTCACTGCCAACCATTCTGTCTATACTACCAATGATTGGGTCACTTCACATTACCTTAAACAGAAGAGAACATAAAAGTTAATTCATATCATCATTCTTAAGAAATAAGAATTTCATGATCACGACACATACAGCAAAGTGAAATATAACTCAACTGGTTTGAAATTCATAGTGCACTTCGACTCAACATTCATTTCGCAAGGCAAAGCATTCTACTGAAATGAACAGGACAGAATACAGCTCACGCCATTCATTTCGAATAACACATGAACATGAAGAAAACGGCACCAGTTTTACTCATGAGACAAAGCCCACGCATTTGTTTGAGGTTAATGGACTAGTTAGACCGAAAGCTAGATAAATAAACAATTAACTGACAATAGTGAGGGACTCGGGGGCCAAGTGATAAATAAGTTTTACCAAAGTTTTTCCTTTAGTTAGCACATGAAGCTCGAAAAGGCAATAGTAAAAATTACGACAGTAACACAGTAAAAAAATAAGCCAAAACCGGAGTTGATTTAGGTAAGACCATAACAATTGTTAAGACACATGCCTACCTATCATGTACAACAGACTAGGAGAGCAAAAAGGCCAAAGACGGTTTTGGATCATGACTTGGAAAATCCGCCAAAACCTCCCAAA